CGTCCACCCCCAAAATACTGAATACGTTCACCCCTCCATACTCTCTCCCTCCAATCTGATATTCAATCTTTCATCCCCTAATCTTTTGTTATCCTCATAAACCTTACTCTTTCCCTTTATTCACCTTTAATTTTCTTCTTTTGCACACCCTACCAAATTCATCCACCAATCTCTGCAACTTCTCTTCAAAATCTCCCAAGAGCACAGTGTTCATCAGCAAAGAGCAGCTGTGACAACTCCCACTTTGTGTGTGATTCTTTATCTTTTAACTCCAAACGCCTCTTGACAAGACCCTCGCATTTACTTCTTACCAACCCCATCTATAAATATATTAAACAACCACGGTGACATCACACACCCTTTGTTAAGGCCTACTTTTACTGGGAAATAATTTCCCTCTTTCCTACATACTCTAACTTGAGCCTCACAAACCTCGTAAAAACTCTTCACTGCTTTCAGTAACTACCTCCAAACACCATACACTTGCAACATCTGCCACATTGCCCCCCTATCCACCCTGTCATACGCCTTTTCCAAATCCATAAATGCCACAAAGACCTCTTTAGCCTTATCTAAATTCTTTTCACTTATATGTTTAAACTGTAAACACCTGGTCCCACACCCCCTACCTTTCCTAAAGCCTCTTGTTCATCTGCTATCCTATTCTCCGTCTTACTCTTAATTCTTTCAATTATAACCTACCATACACTTTACCGGGTACACTCAAGAGACTTATCCCCCTATAATTTTTGCACTCTCTTTTATCCCCTTTGCCTTTATACAAAGGAACTATGCATGCTCTCTCCCAAATCCCTAGGTACCTTACCCTCTTCCATACATTTATTAAATAATTGCACCAACCACTCCAAAACTATATCCCCACCTGCTTTTAACATTTCTATCTTTACCCCATCAACCCCGGGCTCCCTTTAAACCCCCTTTCATTTTACCTACTGCCTCACGAATTTCCCCCCACACTCACAACTGGCTCTTCCCTCACTCCTACAAGATGTTTTTCCCTCCCTTGCCTATACACGAAATCACAGCTTCCCTATCTTCATCAACATTTAACAATTCCTCAAAATATTCCTTTCCTCTTCCCAATACCTCTAACTCTCCATTTAATAACTTCCTCTCCTATTTTTAACTGACAAATCCATTTGTTCTCTAGGCTTTCTTAACTTGTTTAAACTCACTCCAAAACTTTTTCTTATTTTCAACAAAATTTGTTGATAACTCTCACCCACTCTCTCATTTGCTCCCTCTTTTTACATTGCTTCACCACTCTCTTAACCTCTCTCTTTTTCTCCATATACTCTTCCCTCCTTGATCACTTCTACTTTGTAAAAAATTCATATGCTAACTTTTTCTCCCTTACTACTCCTTTACATCATCATTCCACCAATCGCTCCTCTTCCCCCCTGCACCCACTTTCCCGTAACCAAAAAACTTCTGCTGAACACTAAACAACATTTTTAAACCTACCCCATACCTCTTCGACCCCATTGCCTATGCTCCATTAGCCCATCTATCCTCCAATAGCTGTTTATATCTTACCTAACTGCCTCCTCTTTTAAATTTATAAACCTTTACCTCTCTCTTCCCTGATGCTTCTATTCTCCTTGTATCCCATCTACCCTTTTACTCTCAGTGTAGCTACAACTAGAAAGTGATCTGATATATCTGTGGCCCCTCTATAAAAAATGTACATCCTGAAGTCTACTCAACAGTCTTTATCTACCAATACATAATCCCAAAAAACTACTGTCATTTCGCCCTTCATCATATCGTGTATACTTATTTATCCTCTTTTTCTTAAAATATGTATTACCTATAACTAAACCCCTTTCTATACAAAGTTCAATCAAAGGGCTCCCATTATCATTTACACCTGGCACCCCAAACTTACCTACCACACCCTCTCTAAAAGTTTCTCCTACTTTAGCATTCAAGTCCCCTACCACAATTACTCTCTCACTTGGTTCAAAGGCTCCTATACATTCACTTAACATCTCCCAAAATCTCTCTCTCTCCTCTGCATTCCTCTCTTCTCCAGGTGCATACACGCTTATTATGACCCACTTCTCGCATCCAACCTTTACTTTAATCCACATAATTCTTGAATTTACACATTCATATGTACGTCAAAAAACCCTACGCGTAAAACGTACTAGTACGACCAAAACCCTCAAAGGGTTAAGGGAGAGGGGGACGAGTATAAAAATTATAGGGGGAATAAGCCTAACAAGTATACCTGGTAGTGTATGGTATGATCATTATTAAAAGAATTAGAGGTAAGACAGAGAGCAGGATCACAGATGAACAAGGAGACTATCAGAGGAGGGGTTGTTGAAGTGGTTTGATCATTTAGAGACAATGGAACACAATAGGATGACTTGGAGGCTGTATAAATCTGTAGTGGAGGGAAGGAGGGGAAGGCATCATCTTAGGAAATGATGGAGGGAGGGGGTAAGAGGTTCTGTGTACAAGGGGCTTGGATATACAGCAAGCGTGCATGCATGTGCGCGCGTGCGTTTGAAGCGAGCGAGATGAATGGATTTTAGGACTTTACAAGCTGTTGGCCCATGGCATGGAAATATTTTGTGAAGGGATTCAGGGAAACTGGTTAGCCAGACTCGAGTCCTGGATGTGGAAATTACAATGCCTACACTTTATAGGAGAGGTTTGAGATATGTGTATTTGCTGTTTAGTGACATTTAAACTTTCATGTGTGTGCCTCTGCAAAGACTGATAGAGTGGATGATGGCTTTTTTGGGGGTGGGATGGGGGGGGGTAGTGGGTTGCCAAACCTCAGTGGGAGACAGCCAGCGTGTTAAACGAAAAATGTAAACAGAGATAAATTTTATACAGGAAAAGAATTTACATTCACTACCTTCAAGTTCTGAATTCAGAAATGCTCTTATGATGGAAAACTAAATTTTCTCTTTTGCCTATAACAGAAGCACTGAAATTAACCCTTCCACTGTCGGTCCCAATGGCTTGGAAGCCAGTGTTGGTGCCGTAATATTATGCCAAAATTCTAGCGGCTTCCAATCTTGTAGAAGAAAGCTGGTAGGGCTACATACGAGAGAATGGGTCTGAGTGGTCAGTGTGTGCAGTATAAAAAAAATCCTACAGCAGGCAGTGCAAAAGTAAACAAGTGACGTCATGCGTCCAATACACGTCAACTGGTGGGTCTAATATGGTTTCACAAATGCACTGATATAATTTATACCATTTTTACAATAATGCAGTAGTCTGCATAACAGTAAATCTTCTATTTTTTTGTGCTAATAAAAATTCAAAATGTAAAGCAAGCGTAACATAAGAGGGGCCTGGAGACAAGACTAATGAACAGAGAATGTTACTTTAGTGCTAAGAATGTTTGTATTGCTAATTCTGGAATCTAATTTGAAATTGGCCTTACTTGAATTGTGCATGAAATTGGCCAAATTACAAATTTCTGGTCACTTTATTGGGTAGTTGAAATAAGTATATGGGCAGTTTCTTGTACTCAGTGGATAGAACAAATGGAGTTCTAGCAAAATAGCTATGAGCCTGGTCGACTGGAACAATGGAACTGGCTGAAAATAGGGCTCAAAGTGGATGAAACTGCCGATGTGTAAAAACTGCAGAGACCTCTAACTTTGCGAGAGCGTATTTCCGTAAATTTTCCATCAAATTTCATATTTTTGGTTTCATTACCATCAGGAAAAAACTCTATCATTTCATAATTTTTTTTTAAAATTCAACTCAGAGCAAGTTTGTGAGCAAGGGTCTCGACAGTGAAAGGGTTAATGCCTTCTTTTTATTGCTGTGTGCCAATACCTGCCAAGCTATGAACTTTATATACTATACTTTTCAACACCAGTAATCTTCCACAGAGGTAAGGTGACCAAAAATAAATAAAAATTAAAAATTCTGAATTCCTTAATTTAAAAAGAAAAACTTTAGTTTTTCCCTTTTAGGTTACCCTGCCTTGGTGGGATACAGCTGGTTTGCCGAGAAAAAAAATCTTAAGATATGAAGCAATGGACCAAGTTCAATAATTTCAAAGTTTGTCAGATACAGGCCAGTGCCTCCTCATCCAACACTTGTCTCAGACTGCCCATTTTACAATCACAAAGAGGGGTGTTGATATGTCACAGTTGTTTAACTGTAGTGCAAGTGCAACTCTCGCAAGACAGTGAAGGAGTGAATGACGATTTTTTTTTTTTGAGGGGTGGGGGGGGGGTCACCCTACCTTGGTGAGAAATGGCGAAAGTGTTAACAAAATAACAAAAAAAAAAAATTATTTTGGAATCTACTGACAATTGCTAATAAACCCCCTTTTCCTAATAGTCCATTAATTAGAGTATTCAATATTCCATTAAGTGTTAAAATATTTGACAAAACATTACCAATCGAAAAATTGTGTGAGATCTAGAACTACGTTCATTCATGTTTGTTGTTCCTATGTGACGATTCTTGTCTCCTCTTCTCATTAATTCCAGTAACTGTCAAAAGAAAAAATAGCATTAATTTTTATTTTAAAAAATACATACATATATACAAAAGGTAATCAAATACAAAATGGGAGTTGACACAGTTACTTTTTGCTGATAATACTCTTTATGGGAGATTCTAAAGAAAAGTTGCAAAGGTTAATGGACAAGTTTAGGAGGGTGTGTATAGGTAGAAAGTTGAATGTGAACATAGATAAGAGTAAGGTGATGAGGGTATAAAAACAATTTAGATAAAGAAAAATTGGATATCACATTGGAGACAGGGAGTATGGAAGAAGTGAATGTTTTCAGAAATTTGGGAGTCGACTTGTCAGCAGATGGGTTTATGAAGGCTAAGGTTAGCCATAGAATTGATGAAGGAAAAAAGGCGAGCGGTGCGTCGAGGTATCTGTGGAGACAAAAATTGATATCTATGGAGGCAAAGAAGGGAATGTTTGAAAGTATAGTGGTACCAACACTCTTATATGCATGTGAAGCTTGGGTTGTAAATGCTGCAACAAGGTGGCGGCTAGAGGCAGTGGACATGTCCTGTCTAAGGGCAATGTGTGGTGTAAATATTATGCAGAGAATTCGAAGTGTGGAAATTAGGAGGTGTGGAGTTACTAAAAAGTATTAGTCAGAGGGTTTAAGAGGGGCTGTTGACGTGGTTTGGTCATTTAGAGAGAATGGATCAAAGTAGAATAACTTGGAGAGATTATAAATCTGTAGAGGAAGGAGGGAGGGGTAGGGGTTGTCCTCAAAAAGGCCCCTCACCTTTCTATTTGCAGTGGTAAATGTTAAAAAGTTTGAGAAGTTTGGAGCATTTTACACTCGTGACCTAACCTGATTCCTCCTTTTTTCTTCTTCTCCCTCTTCCCCTTTCCACTTTCCTTTTTCTCCTTTGGGTTGTCTTTCTTCTGCCCTGTGTATCTGTTCCTTCCTTCTTTATTTATTTAATTATTTGTTTGTTTGTTTGTTTTCCCCCCCTCGATGTTCTTGCTCTTACCCTCTGTGGGCACCTAGCTCCCTTGCAGTGCTCCTCTTTCTTAGTATTTGACTGGCTCCTACTACTCTTACTACCTTCGTACTACTACTTCCTTCCCTCCACTACCACCACTTCCTGCCTATATATACCCATCCTGCTCTCCTTTTTCTTAGTTTGACTTTGTAAATGGTCCAAGTCAGACCGAAACATCATCGTAAGCTCCTCTCTTCTATGTGCGGGTTATTTGTGTATGGAACAATATGAAAGGGTATGCTTGTCTCTCCCCTAACAACCATTTTATTTACCTCTCCTAGGCTGTGGATTTCCATAATCTGCACCAAGGATGCACCCAATATACTCTGTATACAAATCTTTTTATTAACACTATTCTCACAAATAATAGAACCTACTTAACATAAGAATTAACTTCTCTTATTGATTTACAGTCATTCCAGAATTTATAGTTGCCTGAATGAGTTATTGATTGTTCTTAGCAGTCTTGGAGGAAACTTTAATGTCTATCCTTGCATGTACTAGTAAACAGTGACTGAAAGACTTAAAATTCTGTATGACACTACTGTACATATTCCCTCAAAGCTGGTGAGGACCATGGTATTGTGTGTTTATGATTATACAAATACTGAATGAATAAGAATTGTGACTTACATTCTTTTCACAATTAACACACTCCTCCTTCAAATCAGCAACATAAACATTTCCTGACTGATCCTCTCTTACGTGCAGCAATTTTCGTGACTCACGACCAACAAGTAAATCAGTTATACTTTCATTATAGATTTCCATGTAGGATGCTCTGAAAATTATGAGTAATAATTATGGAATTAAAGAACAATAAAATTATGAGGAAAAACAAAAATTTTCATTTAAATCCCTGCTCAAAATAAAATAGTAATACAGCCTCTCCTCGCTTAACAATGGACTTCTGTTCCTGAAACCAAATTGGAAAACAAATTCATTGCTAAACAAGGAGCATGCTACAATGGTAGTGGGTTTGTGTCAACCATCTTTGATACCGTTTTAATGTCACCTTTGCACCATTTATAAATTTTTTTAGTATATTTTTAAATGTTTATACAGTAGTGTACTGTATACTGTAATAAACAGAAGAGAGGAAAGCAGCTCTAATATACAGTAGACAGTCATTTAACTGAAAATGCCATGTTAGGTAAAACCATGTTAGATGAACTGAAGAACTTATGGGAAAAATAGGTTTACATTCCTGGAAGCCCCGAAAAAGTCAAAAAAATTTTTTTTAAGGCCTCCACATCTTGCAAAAATAAAAGTGAATATGTAATTGTAGTTCACTGTTGTGACGTATTACGTTTTTACTGCTGAAGACTACAAATGTAACAAAAATTATTTCTTACCTTAAATTGTGGGTGCTGGTGTTTGTGAATGATTGTGAAGAGTGGAGAGTTATGCTGTGGCCCTACTGGGCTGAGGTGGATGGTAGAGGTTCTGGTACTGAAGTCGAGGGTTGTAATGGAGTGTCTGAGTCGTTCAGTCAATCAAGCCAGTAGGTCGTTCAGTCAAGCCAGTAAGTCAGTCACACAAACTTGTGTTTACCTCTTTTTATGTGTACAAAGTAACACTTCATTAAGGTTATCTCTTCGTTAGCCCTTTGACTGTTTCGGTCATATATATACGTCTTGCGCACCACTGTTTCTGATGTATTTATACGTGTAAATTCTAGCAGCTTCAAATCAAGCGGGAGAAAGCTGGTAGGCCCACATGTGAGAGAATGGGTCTGTGTGGTCAGTGTGCACCACAAAAAAAAAAAAAATCCTGCAACACGCAGTGTGTAATAAGGAAAAAAAAAAAAAAAAAAAAAAAAAAGACTTTTTTGGATTAAAACACCCACTTTGAGGTGCATTTTCGTATAGTATTTATCGTTGTATTCTCATTTTCATGGTCTCACGTGATAAAATGGAAAACATATTACAGAAATAGAGATGATTTTGATTACTTTCAAGATGAAAACAGCCTTGAAATTGGGCTCAAAGTAGTAGAAATGTTTGATTTTTACCTATGTTCAGGAGTAAGCAAATCACACCACACGTTCAATACACTTCAACTGGGGAGTCTAATATTCTTTCACTAGTGCACTGATATTATTTATATCATTTTTACAATAATGCAGTAGTCTGCATAACAGTAAATTTTGTATTTTTTTGTATGAATAAAAAATCAAAATACATATATAAACCATACCCCGGCTGGGATTGAACCCGCAGTCATAAGTCTCAAAACTCCAGCCCGTCACGTTAGCCACTAGACCAGCTAGCCACAATAAGATTCGTCCAACTAGGTATATTTCTACACCATAGGAAGGTTAGCACAGGCACCACTGTGACCACAAATGCAAGTTTTTACAGATGAATCTCCAGCTAGCGTGGCCGTGACAAACTCTAGCTCAAGTCCCTTCACTGCCGTCAACATGACTCACGAAATCGTAATGACACGATTGCAAATCGTGTCATTACGATATCGTGAGTACATATATAAAGCAATAGTAATATAGGAGGGGCCTAGAGATGTGGCTAATGAACAGAGGATATGTTATTTTAGTGCCAAGAATGTCTACATTGTTTATTCTGGACCCTATTTTGAAATTAGCATCTTTTTAATTTGTGTGAAATTGGCCAAATTGCCAATTTCTGACCACTTTATTGGGTAGTTCAAATCGGTAAATGGGCAGTTTCTTGTACTCAACTGATAGAGAAAATGGAGTTCTAAAGAAATAGCTATGAGTTTGGTCAACTGGAACAACAAAATTGGCCAAAAACAGGGCTCAAAGTCGGCAAAATCGCTGATGCGTATATGTTGCCGAGACCGCTAACTTCGCTGGAGCGTAATTCCACAAGTTTTCGACCAAATTTCGTACTTTTGGTGTCATTACCATCGGGAAAAGATTATCTATCATTTCCTAAGAAAAAACAACTTTTTTTTTTCCCAAAAATTTATCGACATAGAATGACAGTTTCAGAATGGGGCCTGCGACAGTCAAAGGGTTAATTCTAAGACTTAAATGCTTGTGCCTTTTCTTGCCAATTACAGCAACACCGGAATGCCTACTGGGTGTCATGATTGCTTGGCAGACAAGATATAGTAATTAAAAGATCAAAACAATTCACAAACGTAGCTAGCTCATAGCAGAGAAAGACTGGACTGGACACGTATGAAGTACGAATGCTGGGATGGTCTCGGAAGTTGGCAGGGAATGGAGGGAGGTCTCCCCGGCTGATCCACAAGTCAGCCACTTGAGGAAAAGGGATTTTTTTTCTTCCCGCAAACTGAACCATGTTAAATTAATTTTACGGTGTGTTACATAAAATTGTGCCGCAATTCTTCAATTGTACTACACTCAAATCGTGCCAAATAAACTCTTGCTAAATGATAGTCTACTGTACATTATATAGGCATGCATACTGGTCAGAACCCATCATAAGGCCAAGTTGTTGGTAAACGAGTACACTGCTAAGTGAGAAGAGGCTGTATAAAATAATTTTTAAAATGAATGACATTTTTATATATCAAGAGCAAAAGTCTCAATCCCATGCCTGGAACAATACATAAAAACCCACACTTAGAGATGAAACTTTAGATGCCATTTTAGTTAATCCTAGACCATTACACTAACATGTGAATGCAACAAATCAGAAATGACCAGAAACAGGTTGAGAAGAAGGAAGACTTTTGTGGTGGTATCGACCCTTTCACTGTCGGTGACATATAGGTAGGGCTTACAAGCCAGTGTTGGTGACGTATTAAGACACCAAAATTCTAGTGGCTTCAAGTCTAGCGGGAGAAAGCTGGTAGACCTACACGTGAAAGAATGGGTCAGCATGGTCAGTGCGTGCTGTATAAAAAAAATCTTGCAGCACGCAGTGCATGATAAAAAAAAAAACGTGTTTTTGGTTTAAAATGCAGACTTTGAGACATTTTCATATGGTATTTATGGTTGTACAGTGGACCCTCGAGTTTCGAACTTAACCCATTCCAGGAGCTAGTTCTAAAGTCGAACTGTTCGAAAGTTGAATCAATATTTCCCATAAGAAATAATGAAAATACTGACTCACGACTCACTGACTCTGACCGCGGGATCAAACCCCACTCGTGGTATGGTTTAATGAAAATACAATTAATCCGTTCCAGAAACCCAAAAAAAAAAAAAAAAAAATACATTTTAGACATCATATTATAGATTTACACACACACAACATACATACATACATAGAACAATTAGTAATAAATTTAAATAAACATAAAAACATTTTTAAGTACCTTTATTGATGATGGCATCTGGAAGATAGGGAGGAAGAGAGAGGGAGTTGGGGTTAGTGTAAGGGAAATCCCCCTCCATAAGGACTTCAGGTATCAAAACCCTCTCTGGAGTTACTTCCTTTCTCTGTCTTTTAATGCCACTAGGACAAGCTTGAGAGTCACTCCCATTTGCTAATTTGGACTACCCAATATGGTCAGTAATTGGCAATTTGGCCAATTTCACACAAACTTAAAAAGATGCCAATTTCAAAATAGGGTCCAGAATAAACAAGGTAGACATTCGTGGCACTAAAATAACATATGCTCTGTTCATTAGTCACATCTCTAGGCCCCTCTTATATTATTATTGCTTTCTATTTTGATTTTTTATTCATACAAAAAAAAATACAAAATTTACTGTTATGCAGACTACTGCAGTATTGTAAAAATGGTATAAATAATATCAGTGCACTAGTGAAAGAATATTAGACTCCCCAGTTGACGTGTATTGGACGTGTGGTGTGATTTATTTACTCCTGAACATTGGTAAAAATCGAACATTTCCGCTACTTTGAGCTCAGTTTCAAGGTTGTTTTCATCGTCAAGGTAATGAAAATCATCTCTATTTCTGTAATATGTTTTCCATTTTATCACCTAAGACCATGAAAACGCGAATACAACGATAAATACTATACGAAAATACACCTCAAAGTCGGCGTTTTATTCCAAAAAAATGATCAGTTTTTTTTTTTCTCATTACGCAATGTGTGCTGCAGGATTTTTTTATGTGGTGCACACTGACCACACAGACCCATTCTCTCACATGTGGGCCTACCAGCTTTCTCCCGCTTGATTTGAAGCCGCTAGAATTATTGAGTATATATATGTCAGAAACATTGGCTTGTAAGACGTATTTATACTTTGAAAACAGTCAAAGGGTTAAAATCCCCACTAGCATTACTACAATACATGAGAGTAAGCCTATCCTTCATAGGCTTGTTCTGGGAGTGCCGTTTTCTCCTGCGTGATGTAGGTCCTCTTTGGCATTTTCTTCCTAAAGAGGCCTGTTTCGTCACAATTAAACACTTGTTGGGGTTTGAATTCTCCAGTGTCTACGCACTCCTTAAACTCCTGTACAAACTTCTCAGCTGCAATTTTATCAGAACTGGCAGCCTCATTATGCCTTATCACACTGTGAATGCTGCTACGCTCCTTAAATCTCTCAAACCAACCTTTGCTGGCCTTAAAATCACAAGCATCACCACTTGTTGCAGGCATTTTCTTTACGAGATGGTCATGCAACTGCCTTGCCTTTTCACATATTATCGACTGCGTAACACTATCTCCTGCTAACTGTTTTTCGGTAATCCACACCAACAATAACCTCTCCACTTCTTCGAGAATTTGAGATCTCTTTTTTGTCAGCATATCTACCCCTTTTGCAACAACAGCACACTATTTCCTTTCCTTTCGCCACGATCGAAGTGATGGTTGAATGGGGTTTGCCATACATCCTGGCAAGCTCTAACA